TTGATTTTCTAAAAGTGCCCTACTTGGGAGTAGGTGTCTAGCTTAAGCCCTGTGACAAAGAACTATTAGGCACAATGAAACCAGTTCAAGCATGAAGATGGTATTTTTGTCCGGAGATGGGAAACTGCAGATGGAACCTGGCAAACAGTTATACCAAGAAAGTTACGGGAAGTTGTGCTGCATCAATCCCATGATAGTTTAACAGGAGAACATCTCGGAGTTAAGAAGACATTGAGTCACCTATGACAGAAATTTTACTGGATAGGTATGAGGCAAGATGTGGAAGAATGGTGCAGGACCTGCAATACATGTTGTGCTAAAAGGGGACCCAAGCATAAGGGACGTGCTCCAATGAAGTTATATCAAGTTGGTGCACCAATGGAAAGAGTAACCATTGACATTGCTGGTCCTTTGTCAAGTGAGCGGTAGTGACCGTAAGTAAAGTGCGTGAATCGTTGTGAATTATAACGCGTGTTTAAGTTAAAGTGACTGTGGAAATTCTAGTTTTATTTAAGAAAGGACTTGTATCACTGAAGTTCCTTGAGAAGAATTTTTACGAGAAATTAACAAACAACCAGAGACACAACAATATCTTTTCCAATTCCTCATAAAGGGGTTGTTAATCTTTGTTAAACTGTTTTTTTTTTCATTTTATTGTGTAAAGTTTTTACAGGTATTGTTAGTATGCATTGTAGTGTAAATATTTTATAGTATAAAGATAAAGTTATTCACGTTTTTTGACCAATGTGCAAATTAATTTTCATTGTTTTTTAAGTTTTTAAAGTTATGGATGGGCAAGTCAGTCTGGAAGCAAAGAGGAGAGAAGAATGTGTTATATGAAGGCTTATAATGTTTCCTACTTCCTTTGTTAATATGTAAAATTGTTCAAAATTTCTGTGTACTTCAAGTGTAAAAAATTGATCAAGGTAACAGCTAAATTCTTCTCCGTCCTCCTGTTTATGCATAAAACAAGATCACTTCAGTAAGTTATCAAGTGTGTTTTCTCATGGGAAGGAAATATATAAATTTGCTTGTGAAATCTCAAAATAAATTACTATCTTTGCTGTTACAAAGCCAGTTGATGACCTAAGGGCATAATCTGTCTTTGTGCAAGAGGAAACGAATAATCTTTGGTGACATGTGCACATGGAGTAGGCAGGCCTTTGTTTAATTTATTTAAGGCCACGATTTCTCTGAAAGTCAGTTCATTAGAGATAGGGTAGTTAGGGTTATGGCAGTTTCACCTTCATTCAGACTTAGCTAAGATGTAAGTATTAGAGTTTCTATAGTTTTTCAATAACTTTATATGTGTTTAAGGTTTAGATTTAAACTTTCACTTTGACTAAACTTTAACTATAAATTATAACTTAGTGGATTATATCCTTTCATTAATAAAGAGAGTGATTTTATGCACACTTGTGTCTAGGCTCTTTCACTATGCCATGTTCAGTCCAAATTTGGGCCTGTACTCTGTAATACAGCTTCTAGCTGATCACCTTTTTTTGCAGTTCCTATGCATTTACCCTTAGGTAAATCATTGAATCTAACAATATCACATGTTTAATACTAGTAAATGTACTGTTAATGTCCTAAATACTGGTTGAAAGTGTAATGAAAGTTACTGTGTTATCCAAATTCTTAATAGTAGGTGAAAGTGCACTTCAAGGCATGGGGTGATTATAAGGAACTTCTAATATTGAAAATAATTATACCATAAAAACTACTTTATCTAGGGGATAAAAATTTCACCATAGGTACATATTCATAAGTTCTATTATAAAAAATTTGGAAAAGGTAAATTGTGTTTCAAAACCATATTATACTATACACTTAAATTTCTATTCTTGCAAACAAATTCTGCTTTTGTATTCCTTCCTTCTCTCTCTCTCTCTTTCAACAGTACAAGATTGGTGATTTAAACGTTGTGTGCATCAATAAATACTGTCAAAAACAGGTAATGTTCACAGTAATGTCTTTGATGTGCTGATTGAGAATGGCAGAAAGAATAATGAATACCTTCTATGACAATTTTTGGATCATCCTCTAACATTTCCAAACTTTCATCAATAAAACTAAAGAATCTCAGTGTGCCTCTTAGCACAAGTAATTGTTAAGCTACAATCATTTTAAATGTTTTTTTATTATTATTATAACTATCCTGTACTTATTGGGGGAAAAAATGTACTAGTAGCTAAAGGTAGTAAATGATCATATTATTGGACCCTGTATTATTTTTAATGTATATGTTTCTCAAGCTTTTTATTGTTGTTTGGCTGTAAGGAAGCTTATTGTCACATGATGAACAGTTTTAGCAGTATGAATGCATATTAGGCTAGTTGTAAGTTGCTTATTGAGTGAGTATTTTAGTAACCTAATGAGTTATCAGTGTATGATTTAGTCTGTTTTCCTGTTAATGTCAGCCAGTTAATCAGTTAGTTAATTCAGAACTTAAATATTTAGTTTTTAGTTTGTTGAAAAAATACAAAAAGTACTGTACATATGAGAAAACTTATAAGTATAATTATTAAGTTAGGCCTGTCACTCGGTGAATGTGATGTTAGTTAAGCAAAATTGTGGAACTTGTTGCCATACAAATAAAATGTTGTTTTAATTATTAAGTGAACTGGACTCTTTGCATTATTCATTTTACTGAATAAACCAAAAGAACCTGCCCAACAATAGAACCATTACAACAGGATGTTTGATACAAGGTGAAAGTGCACTGAAAATTAAACACTTTAAGTTATCCAAATGTTTGATACTGGGTGAAATTGCAGTTGAAGTTAAAGCTAATAAATGTTCAACATGTTTAATAGTAGTTGAAAGTACAATGAAAATTAAACCAATTAAGTATCCAAAGGTTTGAATGTGCACTTGAAGCCAAAACTTATAACTGAAATAAATATTGTTTTATTCTTCAGTATTTTATTTAGGTCAAGTGCAGGCTGTAACTTTTCTATTTTTGTATCAATCAGGATGCCAGCTTTTGCTATATCCTGGTGCATTTAACATGACAACAGGTCCAGCTCATTGGGAGTTGTTACAGCAAGCTCGAGCCTTAGACAACCAGGTGTATGTAGCCTGCATTTCCCCAGCCAGGGATGAAAACCACAGTTATGTAGTCTGGGGTCATAGCACTGTTGTTAATCCTTGGTGTGTGTGTGTAATTTCTGTTTTGTCATTTCTCTGTTTATGTAAACAATTAGCAAATGTCTTCAATCTTAACATTATGTACCCAACTCAAAGTTGTAATACCTATAATATGGGTGGCATGAGTGTATATATGTATATCTTAACCATAGCAGAATTGAGGGAAAAAAAGACAATTGAACTTTTCAGAAAAACTTCATTTATTAACGACCATGGTTTTGCAAGTAAAGGCATCATCAAGTACTGGCAGAACCATGGTCATTAATAAATGAAGTTTTTGTGAAACGTACAATTGTTATTGTTTTTTCCCTCAATTCTGTAATTATGGAGTTTCATCAAGTACCAGTGGTTTCAAGTATCAAATATATTAATAATAACAAATAAGGAAACTCATTCATAACATTAAAGTTATTATTGTTTTAAAGAAATAGGATTTGTAAAATTTATATCTCGAAAAGAAATTTTAGCTCATTTTGATGACCATTGATACCATTTGCTTGTTTTACAAAATATTACATATATTTATGTATGTTACAATAAATTATAAAAATATTAACATAGTTCAATTGTGTTAATAATTGTTTTTCTTTCAAAAATGATAGACTAAACAGTAGAACCTTAAATTTAATGCTTTAAACATACACATTTGTCTGGCATGAAGTTTTTAAATAGGAGTTAGTTTCCATTACAAATGATGTCTCTGTTTCCCTACTTGTTTGTGTAAAGTGTCATGCTTGATTGAAATTGGTGCAGTTGTAATGTATATACATTTTCTAATAAAATATGAATAAAGGTAGATAGCATTTACAGCAAAAGTTTTAATGATGTAATTATATATATATATATATATATATATATATATATTGTAAACAACTGGTACAAAAATCATCATTATCCAGATGTTAGTTGTCTCAAGAAAAGATTGTATGAGACATTGATATTTCCTGAATGGCTTATCATTCATTGGGTGTAATAATTACTTAAGAACTTGCAGGTTGCAATAGTATGAAGTTATAAAGTGCCTGTAATACTGCTGCCCTGTATATATATTCCTCTATTGGTACATAGTTCATAAGCTGGTATTAAATATTTAATGTCTTGATAAAAAGTTTAGTAAAAACTACCTTTATACTCCAGACATATATAAAAGAATAATAATGGCTGGAGACGGCTTAAATGGGTAATGAAGAAAAACTTTAATATAAGTTTAACTTGACAGCAAATGTACAACATTTCGACAAGTTGTCGTATCTATCTACGTGTAGTCGTACGAAACTACGTACGTAACGGTTAACGTACGTATTAGTCTTGTCTACTAGTTAAC